GGCAAGATCTACTTGGTAAGCTGGTAAGTCCTACCTTCCAAAGATAGTGTTTCAGTTGAGGTCTGCTATTATTTGTGTGGAGAAGAGGTAACATTCATGGCTTTCAGTTCTCGAGAAACATCTGTTACTTCACAGCCATTCTTTAATCTTCTCATTGGAAACCTAAATACCCCAGCATTCTCAGCTCTGGTAAACATTCATTAAACCTAAAGTAAGTTGGATGTGTTCAAATATTCAGAGTTGTCTTTACTGTTATCATGACATTGCTATATTAGTCAACTTTTATATTATTGCATATAAGTAACACAGAGAATTATTCTCATTAGAATTAAAATCTACTTTAAGTTTTAGGTTAAAGTCTCAGTTACATTGTGCCAAATGTATCAGATAGAAGGTAAATTGCTGTAAGGCATTTGACAGCATATCTAAATATTACTTATGAATGTAGCTATTTCAGAGTTCATGAGAAACGTATTGATTCTTTTTTGACTTAATAGACAAAATCATATAAATATAAATGGAGACATACCCTATAAAGTCAAACTTAAAAATAAAGTCATAATATGAATTTAACTTTATTTCCTTGGTTAAAAAAATCCAACTGCAATGTTGTCTACTTTTAATACCATGACTAGAGAATACACTCCATGTTTTAAATCGTAGCAAGCACCTCCTACCCCTGTTGTGCATGTCATGAACTACACAGAGGAAGTGGTTTGTGCTAAACTGTATCCCGTGATTTCCAAAGTACAGCAACCCATTATTTGGGGATCTCTCCATCTCATATATGTCACCACAAGGATCCATGGGAGGTGGTGGCATGTCAGGAAGACCTCAGTGTGTATCAGGAAACCTATGCACAACAATCAGTTGCATCACTGAGAGTCTATGATCACAAACATTTTACATGAACCATTTATCCCATCAAAGATATTTCTGTGATGGCATATAGTAATTTATGTTTGGAAATGCTATATAGAAATTATTAACTTTCAGAACAGAAAGAAATTTGAATTGTCTCACATAGGCAAGGGTAAGGATAGGATTCAGGATGGACTCTGTTGGAATCAGTCTTGCTGGTGAGGCACCCTATGAGGCTGTGTGACTGTTCATGAGCAAAGCTTGTAGGGAGTCTGCCAATATGCATAGTCAGAATTAAGTCACAGAGTAAGTATTAATAAAATACTAAACATGCATCAATCAGTTGCATAGAATAAATTAAAGAGTGCATAACTTTACTCTTAATTCAGGGTTTATTCATGTATAAACATAGATTAATGCCTTTCTAGTTCTGTCATAATGTTACAAATAAAAACGAAATCTTTTCATTTCAGCTCTGAACAAAGGGTCAAAACTGTGAGTTGTGAATAGAATCCGTGTTCAGCATTAGTGCACAGGGCTCCAAGTGGTTTGTGATTGGGAGAGGATCCAGTGGCTTGGGAACAGACCTTTTCTTCAGTCGACACAGACTGGAGGATTTTACTCTCCTTAGCACCTTGGTTGGAACATTCCTGTGAGGACAATGCTATACATAGGTGCCTTCATTAATAAATCCAGAGATGTTGGGTGCCTTCATGAATAACCAGATTGCTTCAGGAACCCAGAATGGAATGACGTCTTATCTCCATGTCTGCCTGGGATGTCACTATTTCAGTGGGCTCACTTGGCAGCAGGGTGACCTTTGTCCTTGTCTACTGGATTAACTCTTGGAGATTGGCTTGCCAAAGCTCTTTGGTCAACTGCTCAGGTTCATTCCTTGTCCTATAACTGATTGGTATCCCGCCCCAGAGTCCATGCTACTTCTCAGACTCTGCTGCCCTTGGAGGTTCATTAGCCCCTTGAACTTTTCCACCTTTCCTTTCACCTCTTCCTAGTTGACTTGTGCCTCTTAAACTTCCCGATATGGTTTTTTCTGCTTCAAGACCACTTTCCATAGTGCTGTTACCGTCCGTGACTTTGTGCCATATCTCCTCAAGCTGGTCCTGCAGCTGCTTTTCATTTTCTTCTTCGATGTGTGGTGCATTTCCCCAAATTCCTCCTCCTCGATCTCCACAGTCATTCCTTTTGATCTTCTGCTCTAGGTGGACAGTTTCCTCTTTTGGACTAGAATTGTACTTTTGCTCCCAGAATCGTATTTTTATGTCATTGGACTCCAGCTGCTGCTCGATGGCCTGTAGCTGATCCGTCTGGAGCCCGATCAGCCTCCTCAGCATCTGTGATGTGGTTCTGCAGTTACTCAGCACCTACTGCCTGAACTCTCTTTACCTTTTCCAGAAATGTCCATCAGCACCTTGGCACTTCCTGTGAAGTTCAGGCATTTTCTTTTAGGTTCTCTCCTTTTGATTGACTTGTCTACCTGAGGCCGCAGTTTGGCTAAGGTGGACAGGCTCTGTTGGTACAAAGTTATTTCAGGAATCTGGGCCACACTGTCTGAGTTGGGTCGCTCGCTGAGTGATGGCCAGTCTGATGAAATGGGAGGTGTACATTGCTAGCATACTTCCCCCCACTTGTTTAAGGATACGATGGGGTTTTCATGTGGAGCCAAGTGCCTTTCACTATCTCTCCATTTTCTATAAGGGTGTACCTTCCAGTTTGACCAATAGCTTGGGCAAAGTCTATTACAACCTCCTGGCTAGTTGACTTAGGTGACCACAGAAACAATCTTCTGAACCCCATCCACCCATACTTTGAGTTCCATGGAACACTTGCCAGTCGCCCAGAGGCCCTAACAGTGGTCCTCAGGGTTTCAGGTCATGGCTCTGGTGCGCTTCTCAGCCTGTCCCACCATCCAGGGACATAGTCCCTGGCAGAGACCTGGCTGAGCAGTGAAAATTGAGGTATCCCTGGGGTGACCTGGGGCCAGAGGCTAAGGAGGTCGGGCTGCAAGGCAGCGCATGGAGGGTCACAGGCATTCTGATCCTCCACGTTGAGGTTTGTCCTGGTCCTAAGGTGAAGGGCAGAGAGATAAGCAAAGTAGCCACAGCTCTAGATATTGTCCCAAGTGATAAAAAAATATGCCATGTGTCAAATTTAGCACAGCATATAGTTGGAACTTATTGTCTCAGCAAATTCCTAATTATTCATGGTCTCTGTGGGTCTGAACTTAACAGAATTCTAATGTCAATCAATATGTTGTGCATGGATGGAAATAACACACTAAACTCAAATAACACTCACACATGCACACACACACACACACACACACACATATATAAATTGGATACCAATAAAAAGAAATAAAAAGTAAATGTAAAACAAGAGTCTAAAACTTCTTAGATGTGGGAAATGCACAACACTTGATGATGGCTACTATACATGCAATAAACTGTTACTTGCTAACTTTCAATTCTATGAACTATTATTTATATAATATTTTGAGAATTCTTTCTGAAATTGACAAAATTTTCCATATCTCACATAAGTTACTATTGTCACTAAATATGTACATTAGTACATTTCGCTGAATGGTACGGCATTGTATATCTGTACCCTATAAATCTTTTATATGCAAATTATCACCAAAGATATTTTGAATTTAGAATATAAACCTGTTATGTACTAATGAATGGCATCATGTTTTAACTATATTTTATATGATCTCCATTAATCTGAGTAGTTGATATATTTACTGCTTATAGAAGAGACAATAAAGGACAAATTACATAAAACAAAATAAGCTTGCTAGCATAGAACACACTTAGGTAGTCTTATAAACCATCTTAATAGTTCAAACATTTGAAATGCTCTGGTTACCATTTAGTCAGAAAATATCTCATCTGTTTGTATAGCCCCAGTGTTGCCCACCCCCATTGCCTTCACTGAGACCATTCTATTGTTCTGGGATTCTTTAGATTAGGAGCAAAAGAAGAAAATTTTTATCCTTGGAGAAACTGTTAGTAATATTCACATAATCTGCCAAGCACTGAATAGATTTATTATTTAACATCATTAAACTTATAATCAATAAGATAAAACTAATCCAGAAAGATATTGTTCTTCCAAACCCTGGTTATCCCAGTGTGAGCTCTGGTTGTTAGGTTAGCTAGAGGATCCTAAAAAAATATGTAAAATCTTGCACCCATCCACATCTACTGGATCAAAGTGAGCATTTTAACAGAGCTCTTTGGTGATCCACACACTCAAAATCTTTATTATGATGCACAAGTTTAGAAATAACAGGTATCCATTTGAAGAATAACTAGGAAGATGGGGAATTAGTACTGATAATTGCTTATTTTCTCATGAGCATATTTCTAGAACAGTGAGAGTCCTTAGAGAATGTTGTTTTGCTGACACACAGTACTTGAAGATGTTAAACTGAGTACAGTGTCTCCCATCAGTTGTGGATAGGAAATTGAATCTTCAGAGGTATAAACTAAGTGAGTTCTGGAAGACACTGACAAGAGATGCAGACCAGACTCAAAGGTATTGCTGCCAGTGAGGAATAGATTTTACCTTCTAAACAGTAACTGTAGAATGTTGGTTACATGCTGTTAGTGCTGTTTTTAAATGGCAAATAATAGTTGATATTGAGAATTATAGCAGATATAAGGTGAGCTTATTTGCCTCACATATTCACACATGTCATTTAGGATTAAGATCAGGGGCAATCATTGTCTTATGCCAGACAGAATTAGCTAAATATCACCATCACTCATATAATTATTCACTTATTCCTAGAAGTACTTTTAAAAGCCTGCAATGTGGCAGAATTGTATTACTGGGGAAATAGGCAAATAATTTCACCTTGTCATTTGGTTAATGCTACATATAGCCCAAGAAGCAAGTGTGCACTTCACAAATCGCAACATCCTGAGCATGTTATAGAAAAGGGATTAGGGATGATTAGGGAGAATCACCCCATTCTACCATATATTTAGAGTGGATATAAAAGGAAATACATATTTACCAGACAACACAGTAAAAGTGCTTTATGACACTCTTATAAGGAGAATGTCACTCTGACAATCTTACAATTCTTTCATTGCTTCAGGATCTGGATGAAGAACATGACAGCAAGAAACCACTGCACAGTGACTGAGTTCTTCTTGGCTGGGCTCTCAGAGAAGCCAGAACTCCAAATGCCCCTTTTCCTCCTCTTCATAGGAATCTATGTGGTCACTGTAGCAGGCAATCTGGGCATGATCACATTAATTGTGCTAAGTTCCCACCTGCACAACCCCATGTATTATTTCCTCAGCAGTCTGTCCTTCATTGACTTCTGTCAGTCCACAGTTGTCATTCCTAAAATGCTGGTGAGCTTATTGACAGAGACCAATCTCATCTCCTATCCTGCATGCATGACTCAGCTCTATTTCTTCATCAGTTTTGGCATTGCAGAGTGTTACACATTAGCTGTAATGGCATATGACCGCTATGTTGCCATCTGTAACCCCCTGCTTTACAGTGTAACCATGACCTATCAGATTTACAGTTCACTGATTTTAGGAGTGTTCATTTTTGCTGTGTTCTGTGCATCAGTTCATACAGGTTTCATGATGAGGATTCAGTTCTGCAAATTAGATGTGATCAACCACTATTTCTGTGATCTTCTTCCCCTCTTGAAGCTTGCATACTCTAATACCTATGCAAATGAATTGTTAATTCTATTTTTTGGTACCTTAAACATCTGTGTCCCACTCCTTACCATTATTACTTCCTACATCTTTATTATCGCTAGCATCCTCCTCATTAACTCCACAGAGGGCAGGTCCAAAGCCTTCGGTACGTGCAGTTCTCATATCTTGGCTGTTGTTGTTTTCTTTGGATCTTTAGCGTTCATGTATCTGCAACCATCATCAGTCAACTCCATGGACCAAGGAAAAATATCCTCTGTGTTTTATACCATTGTTGTACCCATGCTGAACCCCTTGATCTATTGTCTGCGAAATAAGGATGTCACTGTGGCCTTGAAGAAAATAAGAAAAAAATTCATGTAAGCAGACGTAACATAAGGATTATGTATTAGAGCAGTGACCCACAATCACAGAATTTGAGTTGACCCTATTTTAATCTGCCTATCAATGTTATAAGATTTTCTAGGACAGTTTGGTAATTTTAACAGTTATAATTTCAAATTCAATTTTCTATACTCATATAATCTGTTTCATAGAGTCAACAATTTATGCTGATAGTAGTTATAATGGACACATATATCTATAAAAGAAAACTCATTGTGTTATATTTTTATCATATTTGATAAAAATTACTTTAAAAGTAATAAGTTTCATCAAAAGTGATACTTTTACTTTTAATCCTTTTTTGAGAATTTTATGTGTAAGTTCTGTAATTCCATCATTACCCCATCTCTATAATATATATATGAAATAATGAATATCTTATGTATTTATGTATGAGGATTATATATTGGAAAGCTCATGCATAGGAAGACTGATTATGTTCCCAGAAAAAAGTAATTGACTATACCTCTTCATTTAGGAGTGTTATCCCTGTAATTTCCCCCTTCCACATTGATATGTCAACAGGTATCATTTTAGGCTCTTGTTAGTCCTACATAGAAGACAAAATACCCTCAAAGACTTCATTGTTCTCTGGCTCTTAGAATATTCTTATCTATTCTTCCAAAATGTTCCCTTTTCCCAAAGGGGAGGCATAGTACCATAGATGGATTGCTTGTGGCTGTTCACCCCATCTTCAGTTGTTCCCTCTATTTTGACAGCCATGGATGTATGTAATGTTTCTTTTATGCTGTCTAAAGTTACACATATCTGTGGGTGATGATATGATCACTACTAATATTCAGTTAGAGATTATACTGGTTTGTAAAAGTCACACTCTTATATTCTCCTCTAGGTTCCATGGCCTCATCAGTAACTCATAATTTCCCATGTTTATAGAACCAGGCATGAATTTCCTCCTATTGAGCAGTCTTAAATAACAATGCAAAAGGAATTGTTTACTGTCATGCTGTAAACTACTATTGTACCTTTAGGGATGGCTTGCATTGCTGTCTATTAGTGTGTTCCATGGGTGTCATAACTGCATAGAATTATTAGTTGTTTTGCTCCCTTGGAAACTTGGATAGCATGTTTCAATACTATCAAAGTTAATCTTCAGCTATTAGACTTCAAGGTTCAGTCCAGTTGCATTCATTCAAATCCTGTGTCAGAATCCTGTGTTGCCTTCAAAAAGAGAGACTCACCTTCCATTTGGGAAGAAATGAAAGGCAATAGCAATAACATATAATATTTTGAGAGCTTTGTGTGTGTGTGTTTGAGTGAGTGAGAGAGAGAAAAAAGAGAGAGAGAGGAAGACAGAGAGAGAGGGGGAGGGAGGAGAGAGAGAGAGAGAGAGAGAGAGAGAGAGAGTGAGTTTAGGTAAACAAATTAATTCTTATGGCTTTTTCAAACATAATTTATGGCATCTTTTCAAAACAATAACAGCAGTAACAGCTGTAGTCCTTGTGTCAGGTCTACAAGGCCGGGCCAAGTAAAGAGGGTATTAAAAATTGTGTCAAGATTGACTGCAGGATTTTCTGAAACAGTCTCACCCTGCTATATCTCTTTTGCCCCTGACATCTTTCACAATGCCTTTTTGTTTTTGTTTTTAAAATACAGAGTAAAGGAATGATAAATACTAAACACTCAGAATAAGGGTTATGTTTAGATAGAAATTCTTATCTTTTAAAATCTCATACTACCCTGCTTTTTCTATATCGCATTCAACAGAGATGTGTGAATCTGTCTACAGTTACTTTCTTTCTAGGTTGTATATGCATGTATGATCACAGCTTCTCCATGCATTCCACTCTCTACCTCAGTAGACTATCAAGAAAAATGCCTCCATGTTTACTCATTTTCAGTCAAGATTTGACAATTTGCAGTCATTTTGAAGCTGATCATTTAGCTTGTTGAGTATTTTATTCACATATTAAAGGTATTATGTAATTTTGTGTATAAAATTTAGTGTAAGAAAAAGTGCTACATAATTTATACTAAAAAATAAATGTATGATAGAGCTAAGTGTTGATAAAACAATCATTTCCAATGGATGCTGAAACAGGATACAGTGATAAAGTTTAAAAGGAGATGCTAAATTATGTTTTGGTTCTATTTAATGTAATTTCCTTTCAATGTCTGTTATACATATTTGCAGCAAAGAAAAGATTTGCTTTTAATTTAAAAGAAAATAGTTGGTTTTTTACAGATTATAACGTGCTTACTACACTTCTTTACTTTTCTCCCTCCAAAGCCTCCGTATATCTCGCCTTGCTCTTTTTCATCTTTTCATTAATTGTACTTACCTGCATATATGTATGTGTTCTTCCTTTATAATTTCCTAAGTAGACTTCATTGATTGCTCCACATGCAGATTTATGTACCAGAATCAATGTGTTGTGTTCTACAATAAATTTCCTAAACACACACACACACACACACACACACACGTATATATGTCCATGTTGTTATGTTTTCCCAGCATTTCAAAAGGCAGCCAATTTATATTTATCTGTCTATGCTAATGACCAATAGAAAATTGTGTGCTTAACAGTTTAAATCTGTTTTGATATCAGGTCATACTAATATTTTAAAAAAATTCTTTGAATCATTACCTTCATTAATTTCCCATAATGTCATACCTTCTCTTTTTCTAAATTATTTTTGAGATTTCAATTTTATTACAACATTTTCCCTCTCCTTTTCTCTATCACAATCCTCCCACACACTCCTACCCATTCTCCTTAAAATTCATGACATTTTTCGATGATTGCTGTTTCATGTATATTATATATTCCTCAAAGACTATTGAGGAAGGCGGGAAAAGAAAGAATGCAAAAGCCAGCATTCCAGGATGTTGTCTGTAAAGTAATGTGTTTACACGTGACATTTAAGATGCACCTTTGAAATCTCAGCAGTATGTGGCCTAAACAAGAATTGCAAATGACAACACTATTTTATATGCCAACAAGCATGAGGGAAATATCTCAAGGCCTCATGCCTAGATGAAATGTTACAGATAATTAGTGACTAGTTGACTACTGAGTCATAAAGAATAATTTTTCTTCAGGGATTATTTACCTGATAGTTTACCCACAAAAAGCAGTCTACTGTAAGCACATATAAATAGGACACTACATTTTCCCAACATCAAATATGTTCTATGTATATGTATAAACATACACACATGCCTACATGCATTCATGCATATATAAATAGTACATACATACATATGTATGTAATATATGCATATGTGTGTGCATATTCGATGCCTTATAGAGGAAGTGTGTTTTATAGGAGGAGTTAGTGTGTGGAGAGGGAATGTAAGAAATGATGTTAATAGAGTACTCTAGTATGAAATTCTTTAAAATATACTTTTAAAATAACCGAAAATAGAAAAAATTTAGAATACAAGGCAATCTATTGTCTCCAGTATTTTCAATGTATTCCTTCAGATCTTAGCTGGAGTAATTAAGAAAGAAATAAAATTAATTTTGTTTTAAGATTGTATCATATTATACATAAAATATCCTAAAGACTCCATCAGAAAATCCCTAGAATTGATGAACAATGTAACTAAAGTTTCAGGATACAAAACTAAATAACACAATGTAGGACACTTTGATATACAAATAACAAGCACACTGAAGAAGAAATTATGGAAAGAATCCCATTCACCATAAGCTCAAAATAAAAAAAAAACAGAAAGAAAAAAGAAAAGAAAGAAATCAAGCAGCAACCCCCACCACGGAAAGTGAAAGTTATCTATAGTGAACTATTTAAATCTATGAGGAAATAAATCAAAGACGTCATTACATGTTGGAAGACCCTCCATGGTCATGAATGGCTAAAGTTAATTATGTGGCTGAGCATCCTACCAAAAGTTATTTACAGATTTAATGTGGTACCAATCCCCATGACATTTGTTACAGAAACATAAAACAATCATAAAATTCAAAGGGAAGTACAATCCCACATAGCAAAGCAACCTTAAATAAAACAAATGATACAAGTATAGATGTCATGCCTGGTTCTGTTACACCGCAGACCCAAGAAAAAGGAAAGTTTTCATAGTGTGTGTAAAGTTGGTGATAATTCAATCGAGATCTTTTGATCTCCAGCCCGTATTGTTATTTCTAGTAGATACTTTAGCATATTTTGTGCTTTCTGTAGACTGTTATATTTATTATATTTATGCACCTAAATTTCATTTAGTTTTTTGACTTCTCTATTCTGATTATTCTATTTGTTATTTTCAGTGGAAATTCTTTCCTCATGGGTATGTTCATATTTTACTTTTTTAAAAATATAACAGAGAGTACACTGAATGTATACCTAAAAATCTAGGATAACTGAACTAAAGTGATGACACTGAAAATTGTACTGTTCATTTTCTTAAGTGGAAATTCTTTCCTTGTGGATACTGTTTGTATTTTATCACAAAAATCATTTTTTGTATCAAAGGAGAGAAAATTATGAACAAAACACAAGATGTTTTTGGAACACTAAATCACAAGTTGTGAGGGACAGGACAAGAATCTTAAAGCATAGGTAAAAATGTGTAAATTACTATGTGATATTTCTTTCCACTACTAATATTTCCAGGATTGCAAAATACCTTTTTGTTTTCATTTGTCTTTTTTTATTTAAGTTAGAAGTATTCTTATTTTACATATCAATCCCAGTTCCCTCTCCCTCTCATTGTCCCATGCCCCCTACCAGAACCCCATGCTATCCCTCTTCTGCTCCCCTGGAAGGGTGAGGACTTTCATGGGGGATCATCAAAGTCTGTCACATCATTTGGAGCAGGGGCTAGGCCATCCCTCCTGTGTCTAGGCAGAGAGACTATCCCTCTATGTGGAATGGGCTCCGAAAGTCCATTTGTACACTTAGGAGAAATACTGTTCCACTACCAGAGGCCCTATAGACGACCCAGGACTCCTCACTGACACCCACGTTCAGGGAGACTGTTTCAGTCTTAT